GGGTCTGGAACCCGCAGGCTCAGGCAATCCACTCACCTCAGCCTCCCAAAGGCGTGGGATTACAGGCTGAGCCACCGAGCCTGGCTGAGAGGCCCCTTTTAAAATCAGAGGTTAATTCCCTTTACCTATGAAAGTTTCTTTCTTCTCCCTTTCTTAGGAGGCTTTTGACATTAATTATCCCCTCTCCTGAATCTTTAACCTTTCTCCATTGAATCCTTTGATATTTCAACATGACCAGGCCTCTCACATTACAAAATGAAAATAAGCAGGTATGGTGGTGTAACTGTAGTCCTAGCTACTCAGGAAGGTAACTGGGAGGACAGCTTGAGCCCAGGAGTTGAGACTGCAGTGAGTTATAATTGCCCCTGTGAACAGCCACTGCACTCCAGCCTGGGTGACATAAAGAGACCGCATCTCTAAGATAAAAGAAAACAAAAACAAAAAACCCTCCCAGGGTTCCACTCCTCACTACTACTGAGAGCTATTATGCCTATGCCCCATTACAGACAAATTCAAAGAGTTGCCCACAACCTGTTTCTATTCCCTGACATTCTAATCACTTATTAACCAACTCAAATTGGGTTTCTTCTACTGCCATCACTGCTCCAACCCCCACTCTTACTCACTCCTCCACTCCTAGTGTTTTTGTCTTACCCATCTTCTCAATAGCATTTTTAAAAAAATGCATTATTTTATTTTATTACTTTATTCTATTATAAAGATGTGAAGTACAAGTCAGTATTAGGTACATGGGTAATATATGTGCAGGTAAAGTTTGGGCCTCCAACTGGTCCTCACTACCCTGGTTTAGGATCAGGTATCCTTTGTGTTGTTATGTGCAGCCCCCTTCTCTTCCACCCCTGGCAGTGTCCCGTGACTGCTGATCCCCCTCTTGTGCTATTGTGATTAATGTTGAAGTTCCACTTATGAATAAGAATATGTGATATTTGGTTCTTTGTTTCTGTGAGAGAGCGCTATAAATGATTGTCTCCAACTTCATCCAATTTGCTGAGAAGTTCATGATTTTGTCCTTCATAGCTGTGTAACATTTCATCATGTATATGGACCACATTTTCTTTATCCAGCCTACTTTTGACGGACAGTAGGGTTGGTTCCATGTTTTTTGGCATTGTAAATAGTGTGGCCACAAACATGCGTATGCAAGTGTCCTTTTTGAAGAACGATTTGTGTTCCTCTGGGTATATTCCAGGAGGGGGGATTGCTGGATTGTAGGGAAGGTCAGTTTCTTTAGATATCGCCACACTATTTTCCATAGAGGTTGGACTAGTCTGCATTCCCACCAACAGGGTAGAAGCATCCTCTTTTCTCCACACCCATGCCAGCATCTGATTTTTTAATGATGGCATCCTTACTCTCCTCAAATCTCTGTCTTTTCTTTTCTTTTTTTTTTTTTTTTGAGTTCAAGTCTCACTCTGTCGCCCAGACTGAAGTGCAGTG